GACTTAGTTTCCCTCCTAATGAAGGGGATGGACTAGATGGCTTCTAAGGTTCCTTCCAGCTCTAAATCTGTAATCTTAATTTCCAGAACAGGGAAGTCTTACTGTTCTCTGCCCTAATAAAACTATCTGTCCAAAGGGCATCAACCAAGATTGGGAAAGTACCTGAAATTGTTCCATAGGAAGAACCAGGAATGTTTATTCAACTTGGGAGGTGGGGTAGATGTCAAAGGAAAGGTAACAGTTATTAGGAGCAATAAAAGATGGAAATGGAAACTGGAAAACCACTTGTTATAAATGAAATAGGATTCCCATGAAGAATTAAACTAGGTGACTTCTTAGATCCTTTCTAAGGATGAAATTCTGTGATTCAAGACATTCCACAAGAATAAGGATAATATTCTAAGGAAGAAACAACTAGACTTGGTGACAAATTAGACATAGGGCTTCTTAAACTTTTGGAAGGTATTAAGGACCCCTTGGGAGTCCGGTGAAGCCTATGAATCCCTTCTCAGAATATTTTTAAATGCATAAAATAAAATACATAGAATTACAAAGGAAGCCAGTTATATTGAAACAAAGATGTAATTTTTTCCCCTATCCAAGTTCATAGATCCCTTGATCAAGAGAAGTCCAGGGATCCCAGGCTAACAACCCCTGATCTAGGGGATACAGGAAAGACAAGAGCCAAAGAGTACTTTTAATCCAGACAACCATTATATGGGGTATAGGTGGAGAACAGATAAGACAAGAGGGAGGGAAGCTTTTTGAGATAAAGATTGGGGGACTGGGGGGGGGGCCACGCCAGAATATTCTGGCCTGTTAGGCAAGTGGAAATACAAAATACAACAATAATGTCAAATTCTTAAGAGAAATGGAGGCCACTAAACTACTTAAGGATCTGTGCAGGTCAAATACTGACAGTTTAAAAATGTAGTTTTATCTATGTTTTATTGTGTGTTTTTATTTATTTTGTGAAATATTTCCCAATTACATTTTAATCTGGTTCTAAGCTCTGTGGGCTGGGTGTATGACATTTCTGGTCTACAGTACACAGTTGGAAGTCAAATCAGTAGAAATGACAGTGGAAGCCAAGGAGCCATAGGTGACCCTAAGGAAGAACAGGAAGAGGCATAAAGAGTACAGAGCCTTAGAGACCACCCAAGGAATTGTATGTGAATGACATGGGGAAAGGAGGAAAAAAATAAAAAGAAATAAAGACACTGTGGTCAGAGGAAAAGAACCATGGAAGGTAAGTGTTAAAGATAAGGCCAAGGAAATAAGAGGTCAGGGAGTAGGAGAATCAAAAGCATTAGATGATGAAGAGAAAAGATGAAGTCTTAAAGTCTAAGAAAAGGATCCTAAGTTTGCTACTGATCATAAACAGCATCTAAGATAACAAAAACCTAGGCTGTTTAACTACAAGTAATTCATAGAGGGACATTTCTTTTGTCCATTATCCAGACCTTTCTGCTTATTCATCACCCACTCTCTATAAAGTAGGCCTGTCAGATCTATTAGGCTACTTGGAAGCAGCTCTACTGAAAGGTGTGGACAGGGAGGAGTTAGAGAAAGGTGCAAAATCAAGTTTGCAGATACTTAAGCCCCAAATTACTGAATTATACAACTCCAAACAAGTTAAAAAATTGTGCTACTGATTTCAGCCACCCCTTAAAACAGGGAACAGAGATGAGAAACCAGATTATATATATGCTAACAGTCCATCTTTACGGTTCATAAGAAAAGTACCATTTTTCTATTAGGTGCTATTAGTAAAGATAAAAGTTAAGAGTCAGAGTCAACACGCACCCATTGAGAAGTCTAGTGTAAAATAAAGAATTGCGGAGGAGTAGCTAGAGTAATGACCTTAAAGTGTTGAGCAGGACAGTCCTGAGTAGTCCGACTACAGTCCTAAGTAGTCCTACTACAACTAGACTGGGGCAGCTATTGCTGCCTTAACTTCAGCAACCACCCACAACTTCAATAAACTGGCACCTCCCTACTTGGTGGTACAAGTCGAAAAGGCCAAGACTTTGCTCAAGGATGAGAAGCCATAATATAAATGAAATGGACTGTACATACTCCACTGTGAAAAAAGTGGGCTTGGCTTCTGATGGTCTGAATGTAGTTAAGTTGTCCAAATTCCTATTTCCTAAAGATGGAACACTTATAACCTTTACAACAAAGAAGCAGGATCCTCTAAACCTATATAACTGGATAACAGGTTAAACTTGGGTCCATAAACTTGTTTTTTCAAACTATTTTAATAACTGTATTTCAATGTAATTGGTTTCTTTTATAATACTATGTATTTTATTTTATGCAGTAAAAAAAATTATCCTACAAAGGGACTGGTTTCCACAGACTGCCAAAGAGGCACAAAAAAGGTAAACAACTCCTAAAGTCTTTGCAGCTTTTTATTCTATTTTTTCCCTTTCAAACTGTAAGATTTCTTTACCTACCTTGGCAAATATTCAATTGTTTAAAATAAAAACGCTCCTCTGGCTGATTTTATCTAATTTTTTAAAAATGCAGTTTTTATTAAGTTTCTCCTTTCATTATGACATATACATACATACATATATATGCACATAAACACACATATATACATACGTATATGGTACATATACCCATGTTCTGGGTATTCAGAACACAAGATCTGACAGGTCGCACCAAGCTAAAAAGGCTTGTACAACCCTACACAGTCTGAGAAGCAGGTTAAGTTCAAAGACAATCAGCATAAGAATCATCATAATTTAATAAATTTTTCAGTCCCAGTAACTCATTAAGCTATGATCCAAGGCATAGCAAAACTATAATTTTTCCTCATGAAACCAGAGAACACTGTTTCTCAGCTTCTTTATCTGTAAAATGGGGATAATACCTGCAGCTGCCTCAAAGGATTATTCTAAGGCTGAAATAAGGTAATAATCCACAAAAGAGATCTGTTAACCTTTTATGTGTCTGTATGTGCCAGTTATTACTATTCCTGACCAATGAGAATAATAGATATAGAGATTTCAGGGACCTTAGAAATTTCATTTTATAGATGTGGAAACAAACCCACAGTGGATGACTTTCCCAGGGTCTAGTGAAGAGTGAGCAACAAAACCCAGGGCCTCTGGACTCCAGATTGGGTGCTTTTCCCACTATACCCTTCTGCCTCCTTAAATAAGATAAGCAGCACTTCTACTTAACATAATCATTTTACAAAAAAAGTTAAACCTGACATGGTAATGTTACCGTTTGACTCAATGCACATTTAATGGACTTTCAAAATATCCTTTCCAATCTTTCTAGCTTGTGTCCACCGCCTTACACCAGGCTGTCAGGTTGCCCCTGGCTAGCCTAGTATTAACTAGCTCACTTCCAATAAACAGGAATAGAAAAAGTAAAAGAAAATTTCATATCACTCGTATAATCTCACGGTAGAATTCTTTAATGATTCCCCGAAAAAATAACTCAAATCAATTCTCACAAGCACAGAGGACTGACTCAACTTCGGGGCTTCCTTATCTCAAACTAGAAGGGCTGAGCCGGCATGCTGTGATTCTCAAACCAAACTACCATTTTTAAACAATCAGCCCAGTTCTCTTATTTAGGATCACCGAAATTTCCACCCTGCCAGAAGCCTGGTTAACCTTTTCTGTTTATCCCATGCGGAGCTGTGTCGCCGGTTCCAGAGACCCACAGTTCGAAACTACTCCATAAGATTATAAGTATTTTAAGAATGCGTGTCAATTCCACAATCTTTTTCCTAATCAGTCCACATTCGAAAAGTAATAGGACTAGACTGCGTGTATTCGGAATCTGCCTTTCCCACCCCCAACTTACAAGGACTCAACTTCTGTAACCCCAGTTTGGTCGCAGACATAAGAGACACCCCCTTCCCGACCGCTGTTTTTGGGCCAGGCCCTACTTCTCCAAATGTTGTGGGGCTTTTTAAAAAATTCATTAACACCTCATTTGCAAGGGTGTGTTGGAACCACCCACAATTGTCACCGAAAGAGTCTTTTGTGCGGGGCAGCCACCCTCTACTCAACACAAACGCTGCATTTCAATCCTTCCAAAACAAAAAGCGACCCCAAGCAAAGGCAGCATTCGGCCCACGATGCCCCAACTCCCTTCTCCCCGCCCCCCCTCCCAGGGCTTAGTGGAAAGAAAGAGAACGCACCGGCCACGCGCGACGCCCTCCCCCCTCCCTGGACACCGCGGCCCCCATTGTGTCCCAGCCCTTCCTCCTCCCCCTCCAGCTCAGGCCGGGCCGGACCGGCGCAGGCCGGGTGACAGCCGGCGGGCGCCGCAGACCAGGCTCCCGAGCCTCCGACCGGAGCGCGTTCGTCGCCTCCCCCGGGCGGAGCGGGCGACCTGCCGGGAAAGCAGCTCGCCCGGCGCGGCGTCGGAGCCGGGGGCTGCCGCGGAGCCTGGGGAGCACTATTTCCCGGCTCCGGGAAGAGTGGGGTTGGGGATCGGGAGAAAGGAGGGGGAGGGGCGGGGGAGGGGGCCCTCCATCGGCCGGGGCAGTTAACGCATTTAACCGCCCTTCGCTGGCCCGGCCCGGCTGGGGCCTGAGCGGGGACACCGCCCCCGCCCCCACCCACGCCCCAGTCCCGGCCCCGGCGCGGGGACCCGAGCGGCCAGGCGGGGCGCTGGAGACAATGAGCGGGGGAGGGCGGCGGCGGCAGAGGAGCCGAGATGGAGGAGGGGAGAAGAGCCAGGCCGGGCCCGGCACTCACTGGGGCGGCGGAGCTTGCTCCCCGGCCCCGGCAGGGCGCAGGCCGGCAGCCCAGCCGCACTCTCTCCGTCCCCGCCGGGCCCGCCATCGCGCTCGCCCTTTCTGGAGCGGCTCGGCTCGGCCCTGCACGCCTGCCGCCTCGCGTCGCCTCCCCGGGGGTGTGAGGGGGGCCGCGGCCCGAAGTGAACGGGGCGGGGGGTGGAGGTGGAGGGAAGGCTCTTTCAGCTTGGGCCTCCCTCTGCCGAGGCGAAAGCACCCTGGGCCTCACCTGATGGCCGCCGCCCGGCGCGTCAGCTCCGTCAGTCCGTCGCGGAGTGGCTGGCCCAGCCGCCTCTGGCTCCTTAGCTCGGGCCGGGCCCCTTTGCTCGCTCGCTCGGCCAACACTCGACCCCACCGCAGCAGAAGCTCTATCCGCGACGGGCCCGCACCGCCCCGGCCGCCATTGGCCCCAGCACCCACACCCGCCCGCCCATTGGCCACGGCTGACAGCTCCGCCCCTCCCCCTCCGCTCCGCCGATCAACAAGGCAAGGCCCTGCCCCTTGGCCAGAGAAGAGGTGGGCTAGGAGGGATTTCGGGCACGGATTGGTCGGGCCTCCAGGGAGGCCGCACCTCCTCATTGGACTAGCTTGCAGGACTCCCGGCCCTCCCACGTGCCTGCTGCCCGGCCACATTCCCATTGGACCCGACGAACACCATTCAGCCACTCTCGACCAACCCAATGGCTAAACAGCCTTGGATTGACAACGGTGCCTTAGGGCCCGCCTCCCGGCTGCACTAAATTGAACCACTATTGGCTGCAAAGCAAGCCGGAGGCGCAAAGAATGGATGTGGCAGATGTCACTCAAGTCCCTCTCAGTAGAGCCCCCGCCCTTGCAATCAGGCTGGGAAATGAGTACGTGATGCCCAGCACAACAGCAGGCTGGGCTTGGGGAGGTGGGGGCTTCTCTGTATCTTGGAGACCTCTTCAATTTGCAGTCAGAGGCCTTAGCACCTGAGAAGGAAAGGGGTAAATGAAAGAGAGAAGGAAAGACCTCCTGGACACGTGGAAAATACGGAGTGGCCGAGCGCTTCCCGGGGTGAAGTGGGACTTAAGGCCCAGGTCATAATGAGGAAACTGAGGCCCAACGGTTATGACTTTCCCCAAGGTCATACAAGTATTAAGTAGAAGCAGTGAGCTCAGAAGCCAAGCCCTCTGACTCCCATGTCTACTTTTCTTTCTACTCACCACTATGCCTCAGTTTCCCTTTTCAATTATACCTCTCCAAAAGCTGCTTCTGAATTCTAATTGATTCCCTATCTCCCCACTGAAACTATTTCCAAATCTTCTCTTCCCTCCTCAACTCCCTTCCCCAGCTGAGGATCTCACCTCTTTCCTGAGAAATATGACAACTTTCTTTGTGAGCTCCCTCTTCTTCCATTCCCATTCCCAAAAAAACTAATAAGTAAAACCTTCCCTAGGTCCCATTATCCTTTTCAGGTTCCAGTCCTAGATCTCCTCACCCCCTGCTCCCCTTTAAGCCAGATTCCTAGTTATCTACATTTGTTTGTTGCCTTAATGTTCTCTTCTCTCATTCCTCAATCTTTGAGGCAGCTAGGTGTCACCGTGGCTTGGAGTCTGGAAGACATGAGCATCAGACATTGGCCAGAGTAAGTCACTGTCACTGAAGCTGTCTGCTTCAATTTCCCCAATTGTAAACATAGTGCCTACCTTCCAAGCTCATCAGTTAACTAAAGTTGCACTCTCCAAGTCGCCAACTATCTCTTATCTTGACCTAAGATCTGCATTAGACACGGTTGAGCACCCTCTCCTCTCTAGATCCTCTCTCTTCTATGGGTTTTTCATAACACCATTCTTTATAGTTTTCCTACCTGTCCATTTCTTCTCCTTTATTAGCTCATCATCCTTATCACACCTCCCTAACTGAACTTTCATGTTTCCCTGAAGATCTGTCCTAAGTAGGCATGCACTTGCTCTTCTTCCCCTGTCATGGATTTAACTATCTTTATGCATGACTCCTAGATCTATATGTCTTGCCTCCGTTTCTCCCCTAATACTGCTCACCAACTGGATCACCAGTTTCAAACTGGATATTCAACAAGTCTAACACTGAACTCATTTCCCCCACTCCAACCCTTCTCTCCTCCACACATCACTATTTCTGTGGAAGGAACCACCCTTCCATCCTTCCTGGTTCACTATCCTTAAATCTTTACTCTCTCTCTCTCCCCATATAATCAATCAGTTGCCAATTCTGCCATTTCTACTTTTATAGCTTATCTCCAACTGAACCATTCTCTCTCACACAGCTACACCCCACCACCCTTTAGTTCAGGCCCTCATCACTTCTTGCAGAAACAAAGGCAGCCCCTTAATTGGCCTCCCAGCCTCAAGTCTCTTCAATCCACCACACACAAAGAGGCCAAAGTGATTTTCTTTAAGCACCCTCCCCTACTCAACCAACTCAAGACTTCCCATTGTCTCTCAGCTGGCCAAAGGGATTTTCTTTTATGTCTTGATCTGACCTAATCACTCACACTACCAACTCTCAGCTCCCTACAGTCTCTCAATCAGCTCTTTTAAAAGCCCTTCACAACCTTGCTCCAAACAAGTTTTCCAGGCCAATTTTACAGTACTCCCCTTCCCACCCTCAGCCATCCAGCTTTCTGTTTTGACAATGCTCCTTCTCCTGTCTCTATGCCTATTAATACACTCTTTCCTCACTTCCCTTCAGGACAGCTCAAGAACCATGTTCTCCTTGATGCCTCTCCTCACTCAAACGACCTTTCCTTTAATCACTTTTTTGTATTCTCTTCATATTTATCTTATATGCACTTAACTGTGTTTGTTTTCTCTTCTCTTAAAATGTAAACTCAGACTTTCCAGTAGGGATTAGTTTATTCTTTCTGTTCATATTCCCAGTGCCCAACATAGTGCCTAATACAGGGTAAGCATTTAATGTTTGTCATTTTATTAGATTGTTACAACCTAAGCAACTTAAGTGTGCTTAAAGACCACCCAACTCTACCCTCATTTACAAATGAATAACTGAGGCTCAGAGTGGGGAAGACTTCTAGAACTAGATCACCCAGTGGTAGACCTAAGTGAGGCCAGGACCCAGATTTCTTGATTCCAAGTCCTGTAACTTTTTGTCTATCAAAAGCTTGAGTGCCTATTCTGTACTGGGCACCAGAGCTATTGAACGACCTTAGCAAAAGGGAAGGTAAATAAAGATTTGGTCCAGCTTCACTGACCTTCAGCTTCACAGGAAAGCTGTTTTTAAAACAATAAAGTGTATTATCAATTTTCCATTTATATAGCACCTTTTATTTTCAGGCCTTCTTTAAAGCCTTTCCTCACACTACATTCTGGAAGTTATTCCCAGCTGAAGTGCACAAATTAAGCCAACTGGCATATAGCATTTCCAATTTTAAAAAACAGTTTTGAATTTCCAGTATTTTTAGTAACTACACTTTTCTGTAAGTAAAAGGTGTAAGGGAAAGTGAAGAAGTGGTACAAAGATAGACTGCAGAAACATTGTCTTTCTCTTCCTTTGTTATATATCTTTTTTTATCTGTTAATAAAACAGATTTCTTGGGGATTTTTCTTTCTTTAAAGTTGACCCCCACCCCTGACAGCAAATGAAAAAAAAATCAGTCTTCTTCATTATACATCGATCCAAAACTGTTATTTTCCCTGGGCTGGTCTTTGGCACATGAAAGTATTAATAATTACAAATATTTCTTATGGAATCCTTCGTAATGATATAGTTTCTACTTAGTCCATTTACCTGACCCTTGATTATGACCAAACCCAAATGATCATGCTCTGCCTCATACTTCCAATGCTTTCAAAGCAAGTTACTGCCCCTCAGTGTCTCAGTTTCTTCATCCGTACAATAGGCTTAATCAACAGCTCAATCTTTCTCATTGGGCTGTTTGTGAGGATCTGAAAATGAGGGCATTAAAATCTCAAACTCTGGTTTTCTGACTCACTCCCTTATCCAGGTTTCATTCCACATACCAGGCCAACTTCACAATGGATTTATAGAGATGAACTAAAAATTCACTGTAAAACATTACATTAAGTGGACTTTGATACTTGTTGACTGAACATTTGCAATTTATCGGAGAGCTGAAAAAGATTAATACCTTAAAGAATGAGGCACAACATGCAGTCAGGTAAGGACATTGGGTTCGGGTTGTGATTATGACACAGTGCTAACAAGTTCTCAAAATTTCAGCTGCATTAACAGTGAAATAGAGATGAGGAGGCAACATGACAATTAGAGGACAATTTCTTCATCTGTAAAATGAAGTGGGCAGAGTAGGTGGCCTCTGAGGGACTTTCCAGCTCTGAATCTATCACAACATATTCACTACCTAACATACAAGTGTGGTGGGAAGTTTCCTTACAAATGCCATGGAAATGGGAGCTGGATAAATTCATACTGAATGAATATCAGACTCATAATCACACAAAAATCCAAGCTGAGTCTAGCATCGAAGGCTGTTCAGAAATCTTCACAGGATCCTAAATGTAGCTAATCCCAATAACATATCTATTCACTCTCAAGGTTTAAGATAACCACGTCAGAAACTTGGCAATTTTTTCCAGACAACAGTCTATAAAGAATAACAAAACACACATTCATCTTTAAACACATTTATTTTGAGAACTTAAAATCTGCACATGTACAAAAAACATCTGAACTTTTTAGAAAAAGCCTACACAATGTTTCATTGTTTTTATCCTATCCATTAATATTCTACCATAAGGAAAGAGTTTTACAAAAAAAAATACATATCATTCCAGTCTGTCTGCAGTTAAGTGAGTTAAAATATCCCTGTTACATTGAGGTATTAAACTGCAAACATTGGTACTGTCAAAAAAAAAAAAACCAAAAATCCATTCACAAAATTTAAAAAAAAAACCTAAAACTAAGTTATCTCTTTCTTGGTTCATATACAGTAACTGAAAAAAAAATTTCATTTGGAAAAGTGTCTTAAAAAAGAAAAACTTTCTCACTTATATAATTCTCCATTTCAAAATGGAAATGCATTTATAATAATGATAAAGTAAATTAATCTTAACAAAATGCACCCTAGCAAAGAAGAGTTTCAAGGTTTGCAATGCCACACTAATGATGTTTGGCTACAGTGTTCCATTTTCAAAGGAAGAAATATAATCTGGTTGGCAATTTCAACATTTCAGTGCTAAAAAGAACCCAGTCTTTTAGAAACGAACCAAAGGCACTTAAGAATGGCTCTAGTATGTTCCACAATGGCATTCTGGATCAGAGACAGCATCTGGCTGAACAACCAGTTCCCTCGGTAAAAGAAGAGTCCAGCTGAGGTAGCATTCTGTACTGCCCCGAGCACTTAGCTAAATGCAGGCCGAGAGCTTTTTTATACGTATTTTAAACATAAAAGTAAACTGGTAGAGAATGGCCTTGAGAAAGAGCTTAACCCATTTTAAGCAAGATTTTTTTTTCTTTAAACAACTTCTTGATAAACTATCTAAGCAACAGGTCCAAAAACACCAGGAACCACCTTAGAGAATTTGAACATCCAAATATTGCCAAAGAGCTGAGCATACTTCTACCTTTGAGGCCAAATCCACAGACTTTACCAAGATTGTTCTAGCAACCAAGCCACATTCTACGTAAGAGGGAACTTTTGAGAACTCAATGTCAGGTTCATTAGCAGCCTTTACCACAAGTAGGAAAATGTATGCTGATAAACTGCAGGTTTTAGCAAAAACTGAATGCAGTATCCAACA